TGGAGAGAGATAGAGATATAGAGAAATAGAGTGAGATATAGATAGGTAGATTAGAGATAGATATAGAGATGGAGAGATTAGAGAGAGAGAGATTAGAGATATAGATTAGAGATAAATATAGATATAGAGAGATAGAGATAGATATAGAGAGATTAGAGAGAGAGAGAGACAGAGATGATAGAGACAGATAGATGAGAGAGAGAGAGAGAGAGAGATGATAGATAGATAGATAGATAGATAGATAGATAGATAGATAGATAGATAGATAGATTTCCCTTCTGCGCATAGGGATAGGGATAGGGATAGTGGGAGACAGTTGCTAAACACTGGATCGCCATCACATGACTTCAGGGATGCTGTGATGATTGTAATTGGAAGGACGGGCTGTAAATCACTTTCTTCGGCGCTGTCATAACTTTGCATGCTTGCTAAACGAAATGTCGTAAATTGAGGACCATCTGTATCTTCTAGCATAGATGTACTGAGGAATGGGACTTGTAGTTAGATACCAACTCGACTGGTCCTCCCGTTTAAAAAAACAACAACATCCATATGGGCGGATAGGGCTACTTATCAGACTCGAGATAATCCATACGGCGGACGAGGCTACCTACCGGACTCAGCCAATCCGTAGACATCCGTAGCGGCCCGGGAGACGGGATCGGCTATCAAAGGCACCACCACCCCTTGGGGTAAGTTCTCCATCAGGTAAGCGTGCATCTCGTCCAGATCCGCCTCCGAGTCCGAGTCCAGGATCAGCTTCACTCGGTGGTAGTTGCTGACCCAATCCGGGTACGAGCCCAGGTTGGTGCGAGGCCAGAATTTGGCGTTTGCTTTGTTAAGCACCGAAGCGATCCGAGTTTCTTCAACGTTCACGTAGATCTCCCGGGTGTAAAACTGAGTCTTCTCGTTTCGGAAAAGATATCCGAGACCGTCCAGGGCCCGTTTCATCAACGAGGGGATTCCGGGGAAAATGTAGACGTTCCGGACGCTGATCAGGGGATACGGGAAGGTACGTCCCGTCTTGTCGTCCACCCCGTAATTGAGAAGAGACGATTCGGGGACGCAAGCCAGCTTCATTTTAGGGCTTTCGGGCTTGGATTGGTGGCCGAAAAATTTCTGGACGAGTTCCACCATCTCGGGATGGGGTTGGATTTTCTCCCCGAAGGCTTTTGCGACCGCTTCAAAGGTGACGTCGTCGTGTGTGGGGCCAATGCCGCCTGACGTCAAGACATAAGTGAACCTATCTGCGAAAGTCTTCACCTCGGTGGCTATGGCCTCCACCTCGTCGGGCACGACGGAGATCTTGGCTACCTTCACCCCAAGCGAGCGGAGTTTCTGGCACATGAAAAAAGAATTGGTATCTTGCGTGAATCCCTGAAAAAAGACAAAAAAAAGAGAGAGATTATTAAAAGGATAATCTTTAGTCGAAGAAGATCATCATCATCAGTTAACGACTCCATAATCCCTTGCGGGGTGGAATCTGAGCAACTGAATGGAGCTAGCAAAAATGGCCGGATGCCTTTCCTGTCGCCAATGAGGAGTTTTGTGTCAGACTTCGATGCTATCTCAAAATAAATGAATTTCCAAACTGCGAATCTTTACGGAAATCTTTTCTTTAATTGAGCACAGCCACCGGATCATGACTCGACGCGGACAAGACTGACCTTTTGCCCCCCCAATCCCCCCCTTTCCGATCCCCAAATCTCTGCTTCTCATTGGCTATCTTCCAAGTCATTCTTCAGACTTCTTGTCTCGTCATTTCCCAGGAATGTTCCCCCCCTCTTCATTTCCACGACAACCCGACTTCAAAGGGATTTAGCAGGCAAAAGTTCAGAGCTTATCTCTCTCTCTCTCTCTCTATGCCAGCGTTGAAGCGCTGACATCTTGTTCAGCAGATATATTCTCAGTGTGCCCAGAGAGAGAGAAATATCTACCTAGGATCGAACTGCAAAATGCAAAAATATGAATAAATATAGAAGAAAAACATTAATGCAAAAAGCAAGATATAAATGGAGGAAATGAATGAATCTGAATATCGCCAGGTTGAATTTATTGGGGGGGGGGAAATAGATTAATTCTCCGATCGAAGCTGCCTCGATTTCCGCAAAGCGTACGCCGAAGCGCGAAGGATCACCTACCTTTAAGATCTCGTCGCCGATGACGATGATGCCAGCGGTCACGGCTGCAGATTGGGGGCGGCCCCCTCTGTCTTTCGGCGTCTCCCCATCCACCTCAGTCGCCATGGTTTGCAGACACCGCCTGGGCTCTCCGGCGTGCACAACGTTCCTGCAGAGCCAAAGTTCCCAGCGCAGGAGCGACCGTCCCTTGAAAGCTGCCAGTTCGAAATGTCGCTTCGGAGGAGTTTCTGAAGCTGCGTTACCTGCAAAACCCCTTCGGAAATTAATACGTCTCTGACGAGTCCTATGATTGCAGGTATTTTTTTTTTTTTAAAAAATTCTTGCAGGATTATTATTACTTTAAATAAAGGAGAGTATTTGTAGCTCGGGGTTGAAATTTGGGACCTTCGGTGCTCTCTGAGTTCGGCGGTTTCCTTGCAGATGTTTCCTGACCCAGCTAGGTAACGTTATCAGTTAGAAAGGAGTGTTGTTTCCTCTGTAGGAGACTGAAGATGTTACCTAGTTGGGTCAGGAAACGTAGTGCAAGAAAACAAGCTTCAGAGAGTACCATGGATTTCATGTGTTTTCCTCCTCCTCCTCCTCCTTTTCATAAAACCCACCTCCAGTCTACCCTTGATGCCGTTACCTAGTTTGGTCAAAAAACGTCTGCAAGAAAATCACCAAGGACCCCCACAGGTTTGTTCTGGCTGGTTGATTCTACTTTATTTACGATTATTATTAAGTACCGACCGAATAGGTGGCTCGGTGGCTAAGACCGCCGAGCTTGTCGATCGGAAAGGTCGGCAGTTCGGCGGTTCGAATCCCCTAGTACGGTTCTCCTGCGCGAGCAGGGGGTTGGACTAGATGACCTCCAAGGCTCCCCCTTCCAACTCTGTTCCTGTTACTAACGAAGGTATCTTAACGCATCGTAGATGCGGGCACCTTAAAATGGAATTAAACTGACTGGCTTCCATTGATCGATTGAATGAATCCATTCAAATCAGCTTCCTAAATTGTGGATTAATTGCACCCTTTTTTCAGGAATAAATCCGCATTTATTTATCTATTCCAGCTACACTGAGACATTAAAACAAGGATTGAGCCATCCAGGGACTATTTCCCAAGACTATGATTCATCCTATAATAGTTTAAGGCTTTAAGCAACCCCAAAAGAGAGAAAGCTTCACTTCTTTGGGTCTTTGACACTCTGCCCATGCTCAGGAGCCCCCTTTTCCCCCCAAACCGACAAGGTGGGAGATACCATTTCAAGCAAGACCCGGGGAGTTCCCACGCACCCCCGACTTACCCAAGCCTTGTTCAAGCAACTGCCCGGGAGCTCCGCCTACCGCCCGCGCATTGGCTTCTGCTTCTTACCAGCCCCGCCCGCCTCGCTTGCTATTGGTCGAGCGGGAAGCGGAAGAAACGCGGATTGGCCAACAGGAGCGGGCGGCGTTGCAAAGAGAGCGACGCTCTAGGCCCCGGGAAACTACATTTCCCATCATGCCTCCTGGCCCTGCCTTGTATAAAGGAGTTATTTGCAAAGGGTTCTTTGGGTTTTTTTTTTAAAATATATATAAAATATTATATTATATATAAAATAAAATAATATATAAAATAAAATAATATATATAATATTATATATTATATTTTATATATATATAAATATAATATATAATATTGGGTAATATATATATATATTGCATCCTCGTGACATTTGGCTGAGTGACTCAAGCCACCCACTTTCTGGATTATGTGCAATGTTGGAAACTGTCATTTCTGCTTAAAGCTGGCTTGGCAGAGAGAAATCCTTTGGGCGTCCAATCCCACTTGGCTAGTAAGAAAAGAAAGAAAGGCATGGGAAAGAAGTAAATGGATGAAGAAGGGAAGGGAAAGGAAGGAAACGAAAGGAAGGGAACGATGGGAGTAAATGGAAGGGAAAGATGGAAGGAAGTAAATGGATGAAGGGGAGGAAGGAAACGAAAGGAAGGAAGTAAATGGATGGGGAAGGGAAAGGAAAGAAGGAAATAAATGGACGGGGAAGGGAAAGGAAGGAAAGATGGAAGGGAATAAATGGATGAAGGGAAGGGAAAAGAAATGGAAGGGAAAGATGGAAGGAAGTAAACGGATGAAGGGAAGGAAAAGGAAGAAAAGGAAAGATGGGAGTAAATGGATGAAGGGAAGGGAAAAGGGAAGAAATGGAAGGGAAAGATGGAAGTAAACGGATGAAGGGAAGGAAAAGGAAGACAAGGAAAGATGGGAGTAAATGGATGAAGGGAAGGGAAAAGGGAAGAAATGGAAGGGAAAGATGGAAGGAAGGAAAGGAAGTAAATGGATGAAGGGAAGGAAGGAAAGGGAAAGGAAGAGAAAGAAAAGGGAAGGAAGTAAACGAATGAAGGGAAAGAAAAAGAAGAAAAGGAAAGATGGGAGTAAATGGATGAGGGGAAGGGAAAAGGGAAGAAATGGAAGAGAAAGATGGCAGTAAGTGGATGAAGGGAAGGGAAAAGGGAAGGAAGTAAATGGATGAAGACGGCAAGGGAAAGGAAGGAAAGAGAAGAAAGGGAAGGAAAAGATGGAAGGGAAGGAAGCAAATGGATGAAAAGAAGGGAATGGAAGGGAATGAAAAAACTCCTCTTCCCTCCCCAGCCATCTTTCCTTTTATGCTCCGCTATTTTTAAAAATTCTAAATCTGCCAAGAAGGCTGATCTTTTCCCCTGGATTGCACATGTGAGGCTTTACACAAACACCCCAACGTTATTACACACAACCCTACATTATTTACACTACACGGAGTCCAAGGATTGGAAATGTAGCCTAGATTCCCCCCCCTACGGATCGCTTTCGAAAGCACCGGATCGATCAGCCAAAATAAACGGACCCAAATCCCGTATAAACAATCTTTATTCGGATCAGGTCAGGAGAGGAAAGGAATCTTCGGATCGGTCGGTCAAAAGAAAATCAAACAATTAATTAAGCTTTAGGTTACTCGTGCGAGTTCAGCTCTTTACACACCTTGCTTTTAAAACCATCCCTACCCCCAGGTAACATAATAAACACACAACGCAATTAAACTGCAGTTAAAACAATCTTTTAGGAAATTGCGTTTCCAGCGTAACGCAAGTAACGCAGAAAGCAGTTCCATCAATAAAGATTAAAAAAAATAAAATAAAATAAAGGCCCTGAAAGGAAACTTAAAAACAGAAATAAGCACAAGGAAAACAAGAATATATATAGAATATTTCTTGGTACAATAGGTTATATACCGACTCATAAATTGGGTTACAACATGGATGTAACTACACAAAGTCGCTGCATTTGTCCATTGAACCCAAAGCTTAAATATTGCCAATTTTTATTGATTTTTTTCTTAAAAAGAGATCAAGGATCAAAGTTTAAAGTTCTGACTGGCTTTCCTTGGGAGTCAACCTGGTTGAATTTTAATCCTTCACGCCAGCGGCCTTCAAATTTGTTGTTTGAACCCAGGGTACCTACATCGACCGTTCTGTTATTTTTCTCCTAATTTTCAGTTAATCTGTGACACGATTCCTCCTTCCACCAACAGATTCCAATCTCCAAGTTACATTAGATTAAGCCATGTAGAAAACCGCGACCGAATTGGGGTACCCGAAGGCAGAAATGATCCTTGACACACGGTGACCCTTTTATTAACCCAGCCCAAAGAACAACCATATCAAAAGTTAATCATATTAAAAGCTCTAAAGCAGAAGTTTGAAATATGAGATTAAAAAAGGAAAGGTACGTTTTAAGAACGACGGAGCAGGACAAAGTTTTGCATGACCAGGGATTTAAAAAAAAAAACACGATTTAGGAGCCTCGGGCGGGCCAAGCTTTCAGCCAGTATATAAAAAAACATTTTTTTAAAAAAGTCAAGTTGTTATCGGTTCTCGAAGATGGCTTCGGCCAGATAAAATATCGGAGGCAAAACCAGTTTTTCTTGGCTGCTTGTTTGCCTGTCGAGCGGTATTTTCTGGGACGGGCATCTTGAAAATGTTTCTCGGAATTTTACGACAGAGATAAAAGAACCCCAACTGTTCTCCCAAAAAGGTGCTTCTATCGAAAACACAGAAGACGACGGAGGATGTGTTGTCATTTTTCGACTTTCTTGGGCAACGGTCTTCGGAAGAGAAGGATGTGTGGCTCTGGAAAGGGAAAGAAACGGCACTTGAAAAAGATCCCGAGAACTCGGATTTTTTCCTCCAGAAGGAAAGCGGTTCATCAAATCCCTCAGATCAGTTTTTATGTGGAGGGGGAAGATTCAGAAAATAATCAGATTTTGAATGACAGAGCGATCCAGGATCGCGTCATTGCTGGGCAAAGGCGAGTTTGGAATAATTTATTTTTATTTATTTGCATCCCGCCGGTTTTATTTTTTAAAAGAAATCAAGATGGCAAACATATTCCTGTTTTCCCCAACAACCACCATCCTGTGAGGTGGGCTCAGCTGAGGGTGACTGCTCCAAAGTCACCCAATTTTTGTGCCTAAGGTGGGACTAGAACTCCCCGTCTCCTGGTGATTGGCCCAAAGTCACCCAGCTGGCTTTCATGTCTAAGGCTGAACTAGAACTCCCCGTCTCCTGGTGACTGGCCCAAAGTCACCCAGCTGGCTTTCATGTCTAAGGCCGAACTAGAACTCCCCGTCTCCTGCTGATTGGCCCAAAGTCACCCAGCTGGCTTTCGTGCCTAAGGTGGGACTAGAACTCCCCGTCTCCTGCTGATTGGCCCAAAGTCACCCAGCTGGCTTTCGTGCCTAAGGTGGGACTAGAACTCCCCGTCTCCTGCTGATTGGCCCAAAGTCACCCAGCTGGCTTTCGTGCCTAAGGTGGGACTAGAACTCCCCGTCTCCTGCTGATTGGCCCAAAGTCACCCAGCTGGCTTTCGTGCCTAAGGTGGGACTAGAACTCACCGTCTCCTGGTGATTGGCCCAAAGTCACCCAGCTGGCTTTCATGTCTAAGGCCGAACTAGAACTCCCCATCTCCTGCTGATTGGCCCAAAGTCACCCAGCTGGCTTTCGTGCCTAAGGTGGGACTAGAACTCACAGTCTCCTGGTGATTGGCCCAATTGGCTTTCACATCTAAGGCGAAACTAGAACTCATTGTCTCCTGCTTTCTAGCCTGGTGTTTTAACCACAAGACCAAACTGGCTCTTTAAGGGATGATTCAAGTCAACTCGGTGGCCATCGGTGGCCAAGGGCTTTTTAAACCTTATTAGGAGAGGAGGAGGATACTAATTGAAATCGATGCTCGACCTTGATACTTTGCATCGAGACCTTAAGATCCAAGCGGCAGGTAGGTTTCGCCCTACCTGGTTCGTGGATCATGTAATGGACCCAGCCCTGGCTCTGTTGGACGCCCAGGTTGCGCCACTCCGATTCGGACATTAGATGAGTCTTGGGGACCAACTTGGCGATGTCTTTGGGAAGCATGACGTGCCTGCAAGAAAAGCCGGGGAGGAGAGGGGAGGAAGAGGTCAATAAACACCAGTCCAATCTACAAAATCTCACCCCGGGGCTGTCAAAGAGAAAGAGAGGCAAAGCCCGCCTACAGAGTGATGGGAGTTGTAGTCCCACCAAACTTATCCAGAACTTCTTAACTTGCTGGGAAGCCTCTTTGTGGAGTCTCCTTCCCGAATCCCGTCCGATCTCAGCCGGACTTGCTGTCAAGGGCTCTCATGCCTCCACTCCCATCAGCCCCAGCGAAAGGCTGGGAACCATGGGAGGTGGAGTCCAAATCATTGCCAAACAATGGGGGTTTTTTGTGGTTTTTTTGGAGGGAGAAAAGGATTTTTTACAGCCTCCTAGATTTTTTATAAAAGAGTTCGAAGCAAGGAGGGTGGGGTGATCCATCGATAAGCCAATCAAAAGTCGAGATTACAAAAAAAAAGTCACCATTAAAATAAAATATTTAATCCTGTTTATTCATTTAAATTTATCGACTGCCCGACTCTAGGAGATCCTGGGAAGCATATGCAAAAATTAGGATTTTTTTCCCTTTTTTTTAAAAAAAGGCTAAAAAGACAATGCATGGTTTTTTTTTAATGCAGCTTATTAATTTTTTTTTTTCTATTGTAAAAAAGTTTTTTTTTTTGCTTCTTTTGGGAGCCTCTATTTTAATTTCTTTTTTATAAATATAAATAATAGATTTTTTTTAAAAAAAATATACATCATTTCTCGAATAACAAAAGTCGAAACCCAAAAAAAAAAAAGGCAAAAAATACTAGAATAATGCTCCAGCAGCCTCCAAAACCCCCCCCCCCCGACGGAGCCCCGCCCCCCTTCCCCCAAGCCCCGCCCCCTCACGTACGGTCGTCGCGGAAACCTCCAACCCCGCCTCCCCGCGCCTGCCCGTCACGCCAGGCTCCGCCCCCTTCTCACCGGTACTCGAATTCCTCATCGTCGTATTTATCCGAATAGTAGATCTGCTTGTGCGTCATGATCGGGGAAGGCGGCGGCGTCTGGCTCGCTCCGTCCGGCCGCTGCTCGGCGTTTCCCGGCGGCTCCCGAAGGCCCGAGCTGGCCGGCGCCAGTTGGAAGAAGACGGGAAGGGGGAGGCGCCCGCCTTTGTTGCGCATGCGCCCCTTTCTCGGCCTCGCGCGGGTTTTCCCCTCGCTTAGTTTCCCCGAACCGCCGCTTTTCAAAAGCCTCCGCCTTCGATGCTGATTGGGCGGAAGGGCCGGAGGGGGCGGATGCTTCGGATAGACGTGGCGGGACGTAATTGGCTGAGCTCGGAATTACCTCAGCGTTCCCCCCTACCAGCATTATGTCTGTCAAACTACAACTCCCATCAGTCCCGTTCTCACAACCTTTGTCAGAGGGGACTACAAGTCCCATTTTTTCCTGTTTAGGCCGCATATTCCATCATCCTGGCAGGGACCAACAATGGATTTTGGTTATAAATGAGATGAGAAACAGGAGACAGTCAATAATATTCACATTTTATGAAGTTTTATCCTTTTTTTTAAAAAAAAATATCCGCCTTGGTTTCAAATTAACCATTAATTTTATTTTTAAAATTAATTTAATATGTTTTTAAAATTTATTTATTAAAAATTTAATTGCACATTTTAAATTTTAAATTAAATTTGTTTAATTAGGGTGTCAATCAAATTGAAAAAAGGGGTTCGAGAGGGGAGTCTCAGGTAAAGGATTAGAGCCGCCTCGTTTTCAACCAATGAGGAGATTTCGCCCAGGTGTGTCTGTACGCTGATTGGTCTCCTGTGTCCCCGCGGGGAACCTATAAAATAGCCGTGCTAGCAGCCAATGAAAAGTTCAGACCGTTGGCGCGTCAACCAATCGGTTTCAGAGCTGCTTTTGGAGGGAAAGTATAAAAGGAGGGAGCGGCGACGGACGCTTTCAGTCAGTCCGCCGAAGAGCTGGAAGAGAGAAGACACGTAGAAGAAAGAAGAGCTTGAAGTCGGAAGACTCTGCGAAGTGCTGAAGAAAGAAGCTGAGGCAAAAGCGCGCCGAGCCGAGGAGAAAAGCGGCGAAGTCATTTCTGAGGGGATTTTTCCTTCGTCGTTGGAGGACCGATGTGAAGACTACGACGAATATCTTTAATACTGAAACTGTAGTAGTCGTCTTTCATTCTCCCCCCCCTTCGCGTAGCGTCCTGTCTATCCCGCCCTGTGGAAATAAAGGGTCCCAGTTGACACGGGGAGGAGTGTGGAAACGAGTCCCAAGGCAAGACTGGCACTACCGGAAGCGTAGGAAAGGCAAGGAGGGGAAGGCGGTGACCTGGGAGCCCCTCCTTCAAGGGCGGGACCGAACCCGGAAACGATTGGTGGTGGTGGGGGGATGAAAAACGGGCGGGGCAGGCTTCCAAGAGCCCCAGAACTTTGGTCGGAGAGGCGCCGTCGGAGCAGCCGCAGTCCGCCGCCTTTCCCCCCCCAAATGGTGCGGCCACCCCGGTAAGAACGGCTTCCACTTCCACTTTTTTTTATCTATACTTGCACCGTGCAACCCTGCATAGTCGGCCAGTTGCGGGTCGTTTTACTAGATCGCCGCCGTCGGGGAAGCTAGGAAAGCGGAGGGTCCTCTATGGTTGTACAACAGCCCTGCGAGGGAGGCCCGGCCGATCATTCTTGACCACCTTGCGCGGCGTTGATTTGATTTGCGCTTTTTTTTTTATTATTACCCCTTATTTTGCAAACCGCTCCCCTTGCGGGATAGGATTGGGACACGGCTACTCAAAGCCCTCGTGCGGAAAAGATAGCCTGCCCCTGTGGCTGGAGGCTCTGCGTATCGTGGGGGGGGGGGGGGCGCCCTTTGTTTGCCTTTTAAGGAGAGGCGCGCCGGGAAGAGGCTCCAATGGAACCAGACCCGAGTGTCGAAAGCGCTGGTGGTTTTCCAGAAAATCGGGGTGGGGAGTGTGGGGGGGGGGGGACCGATCCGCTCCCCCCCCTTCTTCCCCCCCCCCCCCTCGTGTTCCGAGGAAGCGCCGCCGGAGGGTTCCCCGGGCTCGAACAGCTCAGCCTGGTTTTGTAATCGAAGCGGGTTACTAATCTCTTACTCAGAAACTGACGATGCCAGACCTTCAGTCCCCCAACCTGCGCGACGGGGCCAGGGGAGGAATGAGAGAGAGGGGAGGAAGAAAGAAAGAAAAGGAAATGAGAAAGGGAGGAAAAAAGGGAGAAAGGAAGGGGAATAAAGGAGGGAGGGAGAACGAAAAGAAAATTGGAAAGGAAGGGGAAAGTGAGAAAGGAAGGACGAAAGGGAAATGAGAAAGGAAGGGAAATGAGAAAGGGAAGAAAAGGGGAAAGGAAGGAAGAAAAGAAGGGAAAAAGGGACGGAGGAAGAAAGGGGGAAATGAGAAAGGAAAAGGAGGGAAAAGCATAGTTTTTATGCTTTTACTTGGCTGTTCACCGCCCTGAGTCCTCAGGGAGAAGGGCGGTATACAAATTTAAAAATAAAAAGAAGGGAGAAAGGAAAAGGGAAATGAGAAAGGAAGGGAAAAAAAGGAGGAAGAAAGGGAAATGAGAAAGAGGGAAGAAAAGAAGGAAAGGAAGGGAATTGCCGGACCAGAGGGAAAAGTCCGTTCCAAAAGACGACTTTTAACAAACAAAAACGGGGGGCGGACCAGAGGGAAGACTGCGCCCGAGACGTCCGCGCTATTTCTCGACTGCTTCTTTCCTTCCAGGGCTCCTCTTGCTTCTCCTCTCCGCAGCTCCGCAGGGCAAAGGGGCCGCCGCGCGCTCTTCTTCCAGCTTTGTCCCTGCGGCTACTTGCTGGACCCCGAAGGGGGGCAAGCAAGGAGAAGGACGAGGACCCCGGCTCCGCTTTGGGGGGGGGGGGGCGGAAAATAGTCTGCTATTTTAACAGTTTTTTTAACATTGAGAAAACCCGCTTTGCTGGGTGTGTCTGTCTGTCTCCAGAGTTGCGAAGTTTGGATGATTTCTTTTTTTATGGAATGGATTTGCTTGCAAGCCTCGATATTGCAAAATTGGAAGGAGGAGAGGCGGGATTATTTATTAAATGGATATGTACAAGCCTTGATATACTGCAAAGCTCGGGGCCAGGATTAATTTCCTTATTATTAAATTTGATAACGCTATCCAAATGGATATGCTATCCTTTCTCCCTCTCACTTCTTTTTCTTTTGGGGGGGGAAAAAAAATCCCACAATCGTTATTTTATTTTTTTTTGCTTTTGTCAATGACCTCAAAACCCAAAATCTTGGACCCAAATCCGTCAGTTTTCTACTTTGCACCCCTATCCAGCGTCAGTGCCAATGCCTGCAGGATTCCTCTCCCTTAAGGACCAATTATTGCCTCTTTCCACCAAAACCAACTGAAGGGTTTTTGTCCAATTTTGCCAAGCCACATCACATTTGCACCCTTTTCTTTGGGTTTTTTTTTTTGTCTTGTCTCCCTGGAGCCAAGCCTTGCTGCTCGTAACAAGCCAGGTTTCGTGGCTTAAGTTTCCAAACCTTGATTCATCATCTCCTTGGACGCGGCCTCCTCCGCCAACGGGAGACTCTTCTCAACCCAAGTTGGGTGAGACTTTCTGTGCAAAAAAAGGAAAAAAAAAAAATGCTTCCCACTGTCATTTTTTTGCTCTCCAGCTGCCCCTTTAAAAAAAGCGACAAATGCAGCCCCCAAATCTGGCCCTTCCCCATCAAACTTGGTTCCCTTCCCCCTTTAAGAAGGAGGGCTCTTGCCTTCTCAAATTTCATCCCTTCTAAAAAACCGGAGAGGGAAAAAAAAGGGACAGAAACATCCTCCTCTTTTGCAGGTCAGTTTTTCTTTTTAAGTTTTGCTTTTCTTCCCTCTCCCCTTTTAGAAAAAGAGAAGCCTCAAAGCCAGAAAAGTTCAATAAAATCTCTATTATTATTATTTTTCCCCCTTTCTTGTCCTTGTAGTTGGCACGCAAGTACGCGAGGCCTGGGGTTTTTTTTAATTTGAAATTGGCCTGTCACTCAATCTACCCCCCCTTCCTCATATTTCTGGGACCCCCCGTTTCTTAAAATTCCTTGGCCGAGGGTGGGTGGGTTTCCCTGTGGCTGAGCCCCCCTTTTTAAAAAAAATTCCTGCAGAGGAGTTAAAAAAAATATGTGCCACGTTTCTCTTGGCTGCCCAAGCTACGGATCTGAAGCTAAGGAAATGCAATTTTTTGCTCCTTTGCAGACGGGCATTTTTTTGGGGGGGGCTGGGGGTGCTAAAAGGGTAGAGGTGGGGGTGTCTCATCTTGGGTTTCCATCCCAAAATTGTGCGTTCTCTGTCCCGGCTCGGAAGCCAATTGAGGAGGGGGGAGCAATGAGCCGAGATGTGTAAGAAAAAAATAATCATCTTTTTTTTCCCCCCCTCTCGTTTGGGAGGAAAACTGTCCCCATCTGTCTGTCTGTCCATCCGTTTTGGTTAGTTGTCAGATAGAGTGCGCCTGGCTTTGGGAAGCTCTGCTGAAGGGCTTGGCGGGGCCTTGAATTCCTGTTTGCAGAAGCGAAATTTAGACCCTGCTTTGTGAATGCATTTGAGCCGTCGATAGTTTGAGTTCAGGATTTTGGGAGAAAATGAACAGAGTTGAGCATGTCGGGCTGGTTAGCAAGAGAGCATATATATGTATGTATGTATGTATGTATGTATGTATGTATGTATGTATGTATGTATGTATATAACAAACCAGGATAAAACTCTGCTCTCCCCTCACCCCCCCAAGAAAAGCTGCCATTTCCTCTTGGTTTGACACCTGCCCCACCCCCAGCTCAGCCTTGAACCCAGGATAGCAATAGAGTAACCCATGCTGCTGATCAGTTTTGGGGGTGGGGTGCAAGAGTCCCTAAAATCCCCCTTTAGATAAAAAAAAAAATCCCAGTTTTCCACGCTCTTCCTTCCAAGCCCACCCCCTTCCTAATGGCAGAGGCTTGGGAAGCTCCTTCCTTGCCCAGCCGGATTTTGGGGATAGATTGCCTTGGCACATGGAGGCTCTCCGTGATTCTCTGGCAGCGAACAGTCCACCGTTGGGATTGTCCGCCTCTGATCGGTCCCCTCGGAAAGACGACCTGTGCCATTCCGGCAGGCAGGAATAGCTGGGGAATTCTGGGAGCCGAAGCCCATCCCTCTTAAAGCA